AGGAAAATGCGCTATGCACAGCACCTTACGTTATTGTGACGTCACTCTTTTATCTTTATTTACATATCAGACACTCTTTTATCTTTATTTACCGCGTCTTGTTAAACGTGTAAAATCTAGAAAACTAATTTCGTAAATATTTGTAAAATAATATTAAATATGTAATTAATTTCTGTTAGGGTAATATTTGTGTAAAAACGTCAACTTTGTTTATTTATTTTTTGTTTGTGAAAAAAAACTTTCTACATTAAAATCTTTAAGTATTTTTTTGCAAATTATTTTATAACTCGAAATTTTTTTATTTTTGCATGAAATTACACAATACATATAATCTAGTATAGGAAAACTTTGAGTGTAATTAATTTAAAATATAAATAATTTTATAAAAGTTTTATAACTAGTATATCAAAATACACAAAATGATTAAGATGCAGTGATGAAGTTAAGAAAGAAAATGTTAAAGAATAAGTTGTTCAAATCAAATTCCACTAAAATTTGCTAAGTTTAACAGGTTGCACAAACCTCATACGTTACTGCTCATTTATTATCTCGTAGAAGTATGTGGTAGTAATTTATATTTTCTATATACAGACTTTTATTTTCAAGCTTCTTTGATTCCTCAATTGTAATTAAAAATGAATAAATATTATTAATTATTATTAAAAATAATAATTAATGAATAATAATTTATTTGATTTCTCAATTGTAATTAAAAGTTTATTTTCATATTTTTTATATTTTTAAACAATTAATTTTTAAATTAAATAATTTTTAAAAAAATATATGAAATTTATAATTTTTAAAATTATAAAATATTTCTTATCATCATCATCATTTTGTAAAATAAATACTAATTATAAAATTTTTATAAAATTATTCATATTTTAAATTACTTACACTCAAAGTTTTCTTACACTAGATTATATGTATTGTATAATTTCATATAAAAATTAAAATTTATCGAGTTATAAAATTTACAAAAGAATATTTAAAAATTTTAATGTAGGAAATTTTTTATGCACACAAAAAAAATAAATGAATAAAGTTTGTGTTTTTAAATAAATATCATCCTCATAGAAATTAATTATATATTTTGCATTAATTTAAAAATATTTACAAAATTAACATTCGATTTTTTATATGTCCACCAAAATACGGTGTATGAGTTGTGTCTTCCTGTCAAAGGTGTTAAATTGATAAATAAAGATGAAATTGTGTCTGACAGGTAAAAAAAAATTGATTAGAGTGACTGTTGGGGAAAATTGACTTTTATGGGTAGATGTGTGGGTTGAAGTTTGACTATGAATCTCGAGAGTGGCGCCGAATGGGTGTAGCTTGGTTGGCAGCGCGAGCTTGACTTGAAGTTTGAGCTAAACAAAACATTGCCACGCCTACTTCCTTTATTCAGACGGGGCAGCTAAGCCCTAATACCCTTTTGACCCATTGCCTTCTCATTATTAATCATGTTTTAAAACAAGTAATCTACACTTAAAACTATTGGAATTAATATCATAATTTTAAATTGGTTCACTGCTTTTCAACTTAACCCTAGAGATTATCGATACTCTAGTCAAAGCCTACTTTTTGTTAACAAAAATAAGTGATATGGTTTTATTATCATATTTTAAATTTTATTAAAAATGATATAATTAATTTTTTTAACCCATCAAATTATTTAATGATAAAAGAAAAACTTATTCTTTCAACCTTTCTTAAGTTTGGTTAACTATGTCTACAAAGTATATATGTTATCAACTAGTTAATAAAATTCTAAACAAAATATTTTTTTGTTACCCTCAAGTTTCAAGGATTTGTTTTGACTAATTTGGACCGACCCAAGTTGTACATCTGGATTTGGTGAGTGAGTTTACTAGTGGGATTTTATGCATACATAAAAACTCAAATCTAAGACTTTACTTAAACGATATCAAACTGTTTACCGCTTAAATAAACCCTAATTGATAAACAAAATATTTCACAATCACATCATATAGAGCATTAACTAAAATCTCATTATCCAATGTAACGAGTGGTAGGGGTAGGGACGAATGCATGATCTTATTTTAGGAGACGAATATATAAAATTATAGAGTCAAAAATATATTATCAATTGAAAATATAAAAAAATATCTAAAATATATATTAAATTTAAAATTTCAAGAGTGCAGAGGGTGAGCATGTGCTCATCCTAAAATCCAAATTTTCTTCTATAGTTATTTATATTATTAAAGATGTCCATTCTAAAATTTTGTTTGTGTCCATTTCATATAACAATTTTATATTCTCAATATATGTGTATACACCCTAAAAAATATTGTTTTAATGGTTACTTTTTTCCCTGTATGCCTACTTTATCATTTTCGCTTCTATTTAACTATCGAAGTTGTTTAATTGCATCATTGTTTAAAACATTTACTATTGTTTAGGGTTTTAAGTTAGGGTCTAAGATTTAAAGTTTTAAGTTAAGTTTTGGGTTTATAGTTTATGTTTACACTAAATTGATACGAAAATACTATAAAGATGAAAATAATAGATTGAATCTATTACATAAATAAAAAAACTCTTAAACCAAAAATATTTTTAAAATCACCCACTGTATTTGAGTATTTGAGGGGACAAATAATCGATCCCAATCCTCTCTCTATAAATAGTGGTCTCATCACCTTCGTTAAAAATTAATGATCTTGGAGGATAAATGGGTGACTAAGCCTTAATAAAAGGAGTGAAATTTGGACGTGGAATTGGAGGGTAATTTTGGAGCGTAGGAGGAGAGAATTTGATAGTAGTGATTAGAGGTGCACAAAAAATTCGAATATCTGATTTTGGGTAAAAAATATCCGAAACCGGATTTTGGAAAAACCGATTTTTTTTTTAAACCGGATCGGATATTTAAAAACCGGATAATATAACCGGTTTGGGAAAAAATTGAACGACCGGTTTTTTTACCGGATTAAAAACCGGTTTTTTTTCAAACCGGATAAAAAACCGGTTTTTTATCCGGATAAAAAACCGGTTTTTTTAAAAAACTGAATTTTTATCCGAAAAAATTCGGTTTTTTTTTTAAAACCGGTTTTTTGCAAACCGAAACCGGTTACACCGGTTATACCATCCGACCCTCCAAACCGGTTAGGATCCGAACCGGTTTTTGGGTTGGGAGAAAAAACCGGATTAGTTTTTATCCGATCCGGATCGAATTGAAATCCGACTTCTATGCATCTCTACTAGTGATGAATGAAAGAAAGAATGGGTCAGGTGGAATACAATTTGGAGTGTGTAAATATGCTTACATAATTACATTGGTATACCAAAACAAGACGCAGCCATAACTATTGAATTGAATTCATTTTATTTTGGTAATGAATGATATTATATTACTACCTAGTAAAGGTAAGCAAAATTTGATGTGATTTAAAAAGTTGATTTGGTTCAAATTTTATACATTTATTTAAAATATTTTATAATAAGATATGAATGATAAAATATTATTCATCAACCCATTAATTCAAAAAATTTAAATTTGATTCGATCAAATATTTACCTCTAATTCTTCCTACCCCTAATTTATCATTCATTTTAAGTTTATTTATTTTTATCATGTTTGAATCATGTGTGCCTTTACGGCTATAGAATATTTATGTAACTTCAATTCTTATCATTAACAATAAATGTACTCATTTTGTAATTTATTCCATCAACTTTATATTTTGTTCAATTTTAGTTTTTTACTATTTTTTTATTTTTTTCTTTTCATCAATTCATCGATATCATTATACTCCCAACTCCCATCAACATTTTCTTTCAAAAATACATTCTTTAAAAAAATAAAATTATAAATATGTTTTATAATTTCAGAGAATAATTGATTTATTAAATAACATTGTGATGTGAAAAAGAATATGAATAAATATATCTTATATTATTAAAGAAAGTCGATAAAATAAACCATTATGTATAATAAGATTTTAAATATTTATGATTAAATTTGATAAATATTTAATAACCCAACTCCAAAAAATTCAAATAAAATTCAAATCTAAAATTAGGACTCACCCATTCAATTAATTTAAATTTTTTAACTCAACTCAATTCGATTCAATCGAACAAACATCACTACGAATCAGTATCATCAATACCCAAAACTAAAGTTGAAAGTCTGTTGAAAGTAGATATTTAACAAACGAAGCATCATGTGTTGGTTGTATCAATTAAAAAACAGTTACAGTTATCAATAGGGTTTGTTCAAGTGATAAGTAGTTTAATATCGTTGAAGCAAAGCCTCGAGTTTGAGTCATTATGTATGCAGAAAATCCCTATCGGGAGACTCACCCACCAAAATCAGGTGTCAGTCTGAATTAGTCAAAGCAAAACATTGGAACCAGGAGGGAAAAAGAACACTTGTACTTGAATTGAGCAAACGAAAATATAATACATTTAATCAATAAATTGTACAAAGGAGGATAGAGATTGTTTATTTTGTTATTTATACTTGAAGTTTGTAATTACCCTTTGAAGTAAACGTTATCTTTAATATTTAAATGTGAATTTTTATCTAAATTTACAATATGTTTTAGTTTTACCCTCAACATTTATGATAGGAAAAATGCTTTTTAAACACGAGGATTACTGGCTTAGAGGGCAGAGAGAGATTTGAAAGAAAAGAAGGGTATATTTACCGGGTAAAAGCAACAATGTCCCTACTTATATTTTTAAGGCAATTTCCTACTCAGAAAGCTACAAAACCACGCGGTTTCTACTTTTCAAGCCACAAAAGCAGCTCCCCCATGTGCCTCTGCATACACATACTCCACCTTTTCTTTTTGTATGTATAAAATATTTTTTTATTTCCCCGAAAAAAATATAACAATTTGGGTCTGGTCCCCAATGCCCCAAAAGTGGTAGTTAGTTTTAGTTGTATCTGGTAACCGTGGCCTTAATAGTCTTCTGCCCTAAACTTCGCTATAAATCCCCCCACCCTTTTCCCATTTCCTTCGCTCATCTCATTTTCTTCCTCCAAGTAATCTTCTTATACCTTTTCACAAATGTTTCCAATTTTAGCTTATGGTTTTTACATGGAAGCTTCAACCAAGTTTTTAACGTGTGTGTTTGCAGGAAAATGGCTTTTGCTAAGGTCTTCTTGTTGTGTTTTCTTGCAATGGTGTCAGCTGTTCGTGGACATGGTGGTGGTTGGACTAATGCACATGCAACCTTCTACGGCGGGAGTGATGCTTCCGGGACGATGGGTATGGAACCAAATGAAGCGACTTTCTGTTGTGCAACCGCACAAGGGTGACCGTGTTTTTTGGTTTTGCAGGTGGAGCTTGTGGTTACGGAAACCTGTATAGCCAGGGTTATGGGACGAATACTGCGGCTTTGAGCACTGCTCTGTTCAACAATGGGCTGAGCTGTGGGTCGTGCTTTGAGATTAAGTGTGTGAACGATGGCAAGTGGTGCTTGCCTGGCTCCATTATGGTCACCGCCACCAATTTTTGCCCTCCCAACAATGCTCTCCCTAATAACGCCGGCGGCTGGTGCAACCCTCCACTGCACCACTTTGATCTTTCTCAGCCTGTTTTCCAACACATTGCTCAATACAGGGCCGGAATTGTGCCTATTGCTTACAGAAGGTGTGGCAAAATTACATACAATTTGTCACTTTTTTTTACCCTTTCCTCCAGTAAATACTTTTGTTTTTACTCTTTTTGTTGGGATTTTGAATTTGTAGGGTAGCATGCGGAAGAAAGGGAGGTATCAGGTTCACAATCAATGGTCACTCCTACTTCAACCTTGTCCTCATCACCAACGTTGGAGGTGCAGGTGATGTACACTCGGTGGCCATCAAGGGCTCCAGGACCGGTTGGCGGCCCATGTCTAGGAACTGGGGACAGAACTGGCAAAGCAACAGTTACCTCAACGGCCAAAGCCTCTCATTCAAGGTCACAACAAGTGATGGTCGTACTGTGGTGTCCTACAATGTTGCCCCACCTGGCTGGTCGTTTGGGCAGACCTTCACTGGCGCCCAATTCCACTAGAGGAACACACTATATGGTCTCAATTTCTTCAATTACTAAATTCGTAGTGGTATTAATTAGCTTGACTATTAGCATACCTAGTATGGTGTCTTATAATGGGACTATTGGGCCGGGAATGTGAAAGGGCTTATTTTAAGATAGCCCTTTTATCATTTTGGGTTTTATTTTATTTTGGGGTAGGTGTCCTAGGTAAGTCATGGTACCCTTTTTTTAGAGGTATTGTAAGGACCGTTTTCCTTGCGTTGTTTGTGAATGCAGGAGGAAATGGCAGAGGTGGACTTTTATCACCCGCCAACCTATTTGGTCCTTTTTTCCACCAAAGGGACGTTGAGAAGAAGCATTGTTTTGGCTTTGATTAGGTTTTGCTGGCTAATTACCTCCTTGTATTGCCACTCGAAATGCAAAAACCTACTTCGATTTATCATATTATGATTCCGTTTTTCATAGAAACTAATTAAATTATACTCTATAAATTTTAATCGATTAATAGATTAAATATCAAGTTAAATAAAAAATAAAAACTGATTTTATTCTGGCTATTAAATAAATGATATCAAATAAATTATCATATTCTAACTTAATTTCAATCAATTCATCGTTTGATCATTGTTAATAGAATTATTAATATGATAATTTATTTAACTTTCATTCTTTATGTATTTAATTAATCTAATTATAAATCGAATTAATTCAAAAAAAAAAATTGATATGAATTTTATTAATTTGATAAAAAAAAATGAAACATTCTTAAATGAAATGACAATAGTAGGATACCCCAATTCGTCGGTGCCACTCTTCATCTTCGACAGAGTGCTCACCCCCTATCGAAATTTCACCATCGTTTCTCCCTTTCAATGGCAGGACCATCCTCGTCCACATCTCGATTTTGGACAGAATCCATGAGATATCTCGTGAATTCAATCTGACACCGTCAACCGTTGTTGCAACAATAAAGACTATCCTCGAGTCTCCTCTTCACACAAGAATCACAGGATAGATTTTTACTGGGGATAGACCGAGGGTGCTGAATGCACTTTTAAAATTTTCAAATTTCTTTATATTTTGAATTTTTTATTCATTATCTAATCTCGCACTCCTAAAATTTTATAATTCCACACCCATATATATTTAATATAGCTTCTTTATTTTGCTTGCGTCTGTCCATGCATTTATGATGAGTGTTTTATTTCGCTGCTATTTTACTGTTAATTACTCCTTGTTATCTATTTGATGTTGATTTGAGACATTTTTATTCGTTTTCTGTTAAATTCCATAAATAGTACTAAACATGTGAAATTCTGTGGTTTTTATTTTTTTGGAGTCAAGACTAGATTAATAGGCATGACTTTGGGCATGATGATGTGCGACGTGACAGCTTCTAAAAGGCCAAATCAGTAGCTTCCAGGGTCCAGTTAGCATTCTAGAAGGACGAGCAGATAATTAGGATTAAGTTTAAATTTGAATTAAGAATTATCATATGTTATTATGATTTTATTTGAATATTTTTAGGATTTATCTTTTATTATTTTTACTTCATTTTTAGGGTGTTAGAAAGCTATAAATACACTCTCAGGTAAGATTGGAACACATCTCTATTTAGCTTTTGTTCTTTGCTTTCTAATTTTATAATAATTTTCTTCTTTTCTTTCTATTTAGCTTTTTTACTTTTAAGTTTTTTTTTCTTTTCTTTAAAACATTCTAAGTATGCTTTCTATCATGCTTAGCTAACTTTTCAATAAGCCAAATGCCGAAGCGAAGACTCAATTCTGATTGTGAGAATTGAAAATCACTTAATACCTTCGGGTTATAATCTCAATTTTTCACAAACTTGGATTGGCAATCGACCTTTCCTTTAAAATCAAAACACTTTCATTTTAAAAAGAGCTCGCTGGCTTGATTGTTGTTTCGATTTAAATTTGGGAGAAAGAATCAACTGGTAGAAAGTTCGACTTCTTGGGAACACACTTAGCGTCCCGTTAAGGGAAATTGAGATCAGATTCGATTCTCATTGAGACAACATAGTTCGAGTCGGGTTTTTCCAAATCTTAAACTGAGTTGGCACTGACGACGATATTCATAGTTAGTCTAAATAAGGATTGAGATTCAAAGATTAATTTTGGATTGTCGGTTTACCGAAGAGAAAAACAAGTTACAAGGGTTAGGCCTTGTAGACTATAATCGAAATTAATCTGAAGTGAAAATCTTATTCAAGTATCAATTAGAATAGAGGCAAAGTGAGGTTTGAGGCTGTTTTTACCATATTAAATTTTCATTTCAATTTTACTATCTCTTTAAATTTTTTATATTTAATTTTTTATTTTATTTTATTTACATTCATTTTCTTTAAAAAAAATTCCCCCTTTTTACTTATCATTTTCGCCCACATCAGAATCAAAAGCCTCACACATCAAAAACTCTGAAGTCTTTGTGAATCGACCCTTCTTCTCTCTATTATGCTATTTAATTATTTCTTTTATTTGAGATTAAGGGTAATTATTTGACAGTAAAATGATTCTTTTCAAATTGGCGTTGTTGTCGAGGTCCTCGAAAAAATTTACTGATTAGTTTTTTTTTATTTACGACTATGCATAACCTAGGCAAATAAGAAGATTTTGATCTAGAAATCAAAACATGAACTCGATGAATCCACACCCAGACGTTTTGAGAGAAAAGAAGACAATGACAATAACAAGAACAACAAATATCCAATTCTAAAACATCATTTAATGTCGATACCTACAAAGAACCAATACCCGACGCTACTCCAAATGTTGATTTCATGCCAGAAGGACCAAACCAAATGGATGATAGTACAATCCGGGAATTGGTTGTGGCACCTGCCATTCAACAGTCACTTTGCATCGCTTTCCCTCAAGACGAAACTCTATTTCAACTTAAAACGAGACTTATCCACCTTCATCCTACTTTCCACGAACTTCCCAATAAAAACCATACAAGTATCTCACAGAATTTTATATGGTTTGCTTGAGCATGAAACTACATGGAGTATCCGAAGATCAAATTAAATTGAGAGCTTTCCCTTTTTCCTTAGTCTGTTTGGCCAGGAGTGGTTATTTTATTTACCACATAACTCTGTCAATACATGGGCTGACTTAACTCTTATTTTCATTGACATATTTTTCCCAGCAGCAAAGGCGAGTGAATTAAGAAAAAAACATCTTTGGAATCTGAAAAAAAGACGAAGAATCACTCTGTGATTACTGGAGCGATTTAAAAAGTTTTGCGCAAGTTGCCTACAACATGGATTAATCGAGCAAACGTTTCTCCAGTATTTCCACGAAATATTATTTCCCTTGAAAATGAAAATGGTCTATACGGTCAATGAATGAGCTCTCGTTAACATGACTTCGAATATGTCAAGAGAACTAATTTCTACAATGGCTGGCAACTCTCAACATTTTTATTCTTCAAGTGAACCCAGCCGACGGGGTTCACGAGATAAGTTATATTTCTCTTCAAAGTAAAATCGATAAACAAACAAATGTAGTTAATTCATTTGTTGTAGGAAAACTCAGAGTAGTGAGACTATGCGGAATATACACAATGTCAAATTATTTGACAGACTGCTACCTAATGTTATAAGAAGACAATGGTGCACAAGTAAACACAATGGGTGATTTTCGGGGACCTCCCTAAAGGCCTTACAACCCAGGGTGGAGAGATCATCCAAATTTTAGTTATGCAAAAAATTGGAGGCCTAATCAAGCTTATCAATCGAGGCTACTGCCATAGCAACCTTACAATCACAGAAGTCATCACTTGATTCAATCGTTGAGTGGTTGGCTATTTTTCAAGAGAAGTTCCAGAAGAGCATTGAAGCCCATTTACAAGAGATAGTTAAATATAACAGTCAGTTGGCTCAGATCGTGGGGTGCCTCGAATAATGGGGGAAACTTCCATCTCAAACCAAGATAAACCCACGAGAAAATGTAAGTGCTATCACACTCCGGAGTGTGGTATACACAACCAGTTCTAGAGGGTGTAGGCACAGGATCCCAGAAGAAAGAAGAAGAGCCGAGATCCTAGAAGAAAGAATAACAGTTGACGTAAACTTCCTCAGATGGAGATGAGTTGATGTATGATCCCAAGAAAAGAAGAAAAAAGCACAATCCGATCCCGTGCCATCTCCCTATGTCATTCCATCTCCTTTCCCCTCAAGGTTAGTATAAAGAGATAAACAATCTGAAGAAAAAGAGATTTTCGAAGTCTTTTGGAAGGTGGATAATTAGTGTTTAAATTATACATCATTTTATGATTAATTACTCCTTGATTAGATAATTTTAGTTGCTAACTTAGGCATTTTCATTCATTTTCGATGCGGGACATTGAATTCCAGAAATGGTCACGACTTGGGACATGACACACCCGACATAACATCTAGTCAACAGCTGATATGGTAAGTGATGTGGCGATGATGTGGTAATAACATGGCAGCTGAAATAGTGACGATGTGGCAGCTGACGTGATCATGACATGGCAGGTAATGTAGCATCCAACCAACAATTTCTAGAAGGCTCAGTCAGCAGCTTCTAGAAAATCTACTCAGCAGTGGTGTGAAGACCAAAGACTCAGCCGAATTTTTGAATTCAAATTAGGATTTATTTTATTTTTATTTTAGGAATTATCTTTTTAGTTATAAATGCTAATTTTTAGGTTTTTTTGAGGACTATAAATACCCCATTGGAGTAAGCCTCTAATCATCGACTTCTTCATTTAGAATTCATAAAACTCTCGTTTCTTTCTTTATGTTTTTATAAAAGTTTTTTTTTAAGTTTTTAGTTTACTTTCTTAAAATGCTAAGTATGAATTCAATCATGCTTAACTAAGTTTTTCATAGCGAAAACTAAAACAATGACTCGATTCTAGGTCGTGAGGATCAAAAAGCGCATCATACCCTCAAGTGTTACATTTTTAGTTTTCAAAAATCAATGATTGGTAATCGGCCATCCTTTTACAATCAAAATGATTATATTTCAAAAAGTGCATGTTGGAAT